AACTCCTTACATTTCCAGGCCGCCCTATCGAACAAAGACAGGTTATTTATGAATAGAAACTGGCACAGTTTAAAAATTATGCATGCACTAAGTGAGAGGAAAGAGAGGAAGCTGTAATTTCTAACGGATCACACAATCCACTGTAAGAAATGATGTTAAAGCTGCATTGTATAAATGATAATTCTGTGAAAAGGTAAATTGAAATGCAAATGAATACAGATTTACAGTTTGGTGTCATTTCTTTTACTTATCAAGGCATCTGAGTTGAGAGATAAGTGGAAGAAATAAATTGAAGACTTTTTCATAAGGATTAGATTAGAAATGTTTAGACTGCAATTAATATGTTTTCCTTCTCTTTTCGGTGTTATATCCTTGAAGTAAAAATTAGATTAATTCATTTAACTGTATACAATTCAACATCCGTTTTAAAATACTAGTTCATTTCGTATTAAAGAGACTTCTTTAAACATAAAACGGTAAAAACGAACGATAAAATCCGACGTTTCGGAGTAGTCATGACTCCATTATCAAGGTAAAATATGAAAAAAGAAATGCAAATTACAATATTTAAAGCGATTTTGACGCGAAGAATTAGCTTCAAATGGTGCGAAGATTATGAAGATACTTTCGCCCGAATGGAGTCTGATTGCACGTTGAGATTTGGCTTTAAAGCTCTTATAAGAAGTATTTCGTACACTAAACATTCAAACTTCTTTCTGCATTTCTTAAGCACTTCGAAACGCTTTAGCAGGTCCTGAAGCATCGTCTTGTGCACGTTCTTGTAGAGTTTGGCGATAATGATAATGATAATGATAAGGAATTTATATAGCGCTAAAACTATCAACAATATTCAGAAGCGCTTACATAAGTTAAAGTTCTATACTAATTAAAACTAAAATATTCAAAGGCAAAAACATTAGAACTATTGAAAGAAACTAAAAGCTTTCCTAAATAGAAATGTTTTAAGTTGCTTTTTAAAAATGGCGAGGCTACTAGTTGTTCTTATAGTTAATGGCAGCGAGTTCCATAAAACAGGTGCAGCATGAGCAAAGGCCCGATCCCCAAGTGAAGAGCAGTTGGCTTTTGGAACGAACAGAAGAGATTGAGCAGACGAGCGAAGAACATAATTAGTAACTGGTTTCAGGGACAAAAGATCTTTAATGTAGGGAGGACTTTGGTTGTGTAATGACTTGTAGATAAAGAGGAGCAATTTAAACTGAATTCTGAACGTTACTGGGAGCCAATGTAGGTCGATAAGTGCAGGTGTGATATGATCAAATTTCGGAATCTGAAAAATCACTCTAGCCGCAGCATTCTGAACTTTCTGTAAGCGATCGAGTTGATATTTAGGTAGACCGAAGAGAAGTGCGTTACAGTAATCAAGGTGTGAGGATATGAAGGCGTGGACTAGTGTCTTAGTCGATTGAACAGTAAGGAATTTTCTGATCTGTCTTGTGTTGTATAATCCGCGAAAAGCCTTGCTACAAATCTTGCCTATATGAACGTTCATTCGCATATGGGTATCAAACCAGGACCCAAGGTTCCGCACGCTTTCTAAAGGTTTAATGAGGGTGTCACCAATAATAACAGATTCAATAGATGTTCTTTTTAAGTTGTTGGCGGGTGCCAATAACTAGAAACTCAGTTTTTGCGTCGTTGATCATTAAACGATTAGCAATAAACCAAGAACGAACATCAGCAATGCACATCTCAATCGCAGAGACAGCGTTAATTTCGGAATGGATAGAGCAAGGTCGGAAGGAGAGGTAAATCTGGGTGTCGTCAGCATAACCATGGACGGAAGGGAGATGCTGAGAAATAATGTTGAAGAGGCGGGGGACGCAGAGAGTGAATAAAATAGGCCACATACAACTACCCTGGGGGACTCCACAGTTCAGATTAAAGTCATCAGAAGTCTTATCACCAACAAGTATACGTTTTTTGCGACCAGAAAGAAATGAGTCGAACCAATTTAAAGCAGTCCCGACGACTCCAACATCCTGTTGCAAGATATTCAAAAGAATGGAATGTTCAGTGGTGTCAAAAGCAGCACTAAGGTCCAAAAGTACGAGAAGTGTCACTGCTTTATTATCCATACTAATTAAGATGTCGTTTTGAACCTTTAATAAAGCAGTTTCTGTCGAATGATACTTACGGAAGCTGGACTGGAATTTAGGGAGAGGGGCATTTTTTTCACAGTGGACGAGAAGTTGTTGAAGTGCAGCCTTTCCCACTACCTTGAAAATGAATGGAAGGTTACTGACTAGACGGAAATTTTTATAGACCAAATCAAGTCCAGGTTTTTTCAGTAGAGGAGAGACAACGGCGGTTCTCCAATATTCTGGAACGTGGCCACTGAGAAGAGAGAGATTTACCATCTCAGTGATAGGGGGCGCTAATACATCAACACAGGACTTCAGTAGCCATGTAGGAACAGGACCCAGCCGACAAGAGGCATTGGAGGATTCTCGAACAATCTTAGACACTTCTTCGATAGATAGCGCGGAAAAACTCTCCAGATTCTCCTTAGGAGTAACAGGAATGAGTCCAAGATTTTCCTTTATGATTTCAATTTTTTTGAGGAAGAAGGTGTCAAATTCGTTTGCTAGCTTTGTGGGGTCAGTGTGCTCTGGAAGAGCCGTATCAAGTGGTTCCCTACACAAATAATTAACCACGCGAAATAACTTGCGACAATCACCCGCACACTGATCAATTAGGTTTGAATAATAATTCACACGTGCAGATTTAAGAAATGCAGAGTACTGATTACGAACTCTATGGTAATTATTCCAATCACAGGGAGGTCAGTTTTCACGGCTCTCTTTTCAAGGGGACGACGTTGACGCTTGAGTTGTTTAATGTCATCATTAAACCATAGGACCTTCGGACGATTAACCATAGTCCTTGTTTTAAGCGGGGCAAACTAATCCAGTAAGTCAGTAAGGGTCTTGTTAAAGCAGTCGGAGAGTGCACCTATGTTGTCCCAGTGTACGCTTGCACAAAGAAGAGGCGGAGGATTATTGTTTTTATGTCCTTTTTTTTCGACTTTGTAAATGTTCGCGTGTGTTACCTACATAACGCGCATCGCACAGGTCACTTTGAAAACTATAAACAACACACTGCTGATTTACAATTGGTGGCTTTGTTTCCTTGACATGTAGTTCTTGTTCAATTTTTCGGCTCACAAACACAGGTTGGACGGTGGTGTGTACTTTTAGGCTCAGATCCTTTAGTTGTTTCCTCACAATATCTGCTGAGATTTGGTCTCTAAATGGCAAAATTACTCGAACCGTGTCATCTGTCATTTGGATGGTGACAAAAGCTGCTGCTGGTCACAAGCCTTTGAGTCAACGAAACTTTTGATGGTGGAGCTAACGAGACCCGGTGTTTGGGGTACTTCAGACGTGAGAATACTGTCTTCAAACGGTCACATTCACCAAAGAAATGTGACCAAGATGAAGATAAACGATGTGCTCCATCAAGCATAGTTCTTAGCAGGTCCTTTTTGTACCGATTGTCAACTGATTGCGCAAGAGTGGATTTGAATTAGTGGGTTTTACATACACCATAGTTTCTCTATTTGAGGCGATCGGTTGAGTAACTGGACACCCAGAAATGGGAGCATGCCATTGCATACGGTTTCCATTTTGAATTTTACGGAGGAATGTTCTTTGTTAAACGTGTCCAGGAAGTTAGATGCTGTTGCGATATTTGGCATGATGGTGAGCGTATCGTTTACATATCTTCGATAGAAAAACGAGAGTTTGCCCTCCCGCTCAAGGTTTTCTTCGATTTACCCATCATGCCAAATATGGCAACAGCATCTAACTAACGTTTTTCTAGTTCATTTCATTGGAAAAATGGAATGGAATCTACCAAAGGTGTCACAATGTCCAACAGTTACTGTTCTTCTCAAAGACCCCATAGGAGAGGGGTGAGGTTAACCTTGGGAAAAGGGTGTGTTGTTCTTCTCAAATACCCAATAGCAGAGGGGTAAGGTCACATTTGGGGGAGGGAAAGAGGTGGGTTGCCAGTGTAACAACACTCAAGCCTGCCGCTGGTAGTGAAAAAAGGAAAAAAAACAGAACAAATTAAGTTAAACAAGCTATGTGAAGGCCATCGATTTAATGGTCTAAAGCTTGTGAAAAAGCCTGAAATAAACCCTTGATGCGCATGCTGTTATCATAATCGATCATGATGGTGTGCTGGTAATCAGCACACGATGAAAGTTTACTTTGATTAACAAACTATCTACCCCTCTATGAAAACATCTCTGCATCCCAATCCTTTTTTAATGTACCCTTTCATTCCATTTCGTCATCAACAAACGGACACCAAATTAATTCTCGATGAAGAAACGATTTCAGACCAGCTTTTCGAAGTTCTTGTGTCAAATCTTGCAAGATGGACACGAAAGGTGTCTATCACAAGTTTTGAACCGCTTCCCACTTTAGGTTTTAACCGAGGAGATTGAACTTAAAACCATTGTCACAGTCTGTTTAAAGATAGTAATCTGGGACGAATGTGCCTGGGCTAGCTCGGGATTGAATATCTAACGTGCTAGTTCGTCCGTAACTGTCTGAGCCTCCGCAAAAATCGCCACAGTGAATGAAAGACGGCTGAGGATCTCTTCCCAGGAAAAAAGAGACAACGTTGGAGAAAAAAATGTGAAGTTGGTTATAACCAGTTAGGCCACTACGATTATTTCATCGTACTCTCTCCCTTTTTGGGAGTTGTTGAGCTAGTAGGAAGTGAACATGGAACTAAAGTCGACACTCTTTTCTGCAATGATTTCGTTGTCAGTTTATAGAATCATTTAACTTTCAAACGATTGAGGTTACTTTTCGGAACCTACTGCTTTTAATTTTACATCAAAATCATGATTTATTACGGCAGATTCTTAAATATTTGTTTTAGTCATACGAAGTATCTCAACCCTAATAACACCTCTTTCAAGAATAAAATGTTTTTTTCACCACGACATAACCTTTTTCCTCTACAGTCCTCGGTGCTTTTAAAAATCACACCAAAACAGGTCTAACTTTATTGTTTCCAGCCAGTAGTACTTCAGGGTTTGGTGTTCAGAAAAGTCGCCATCGAGTCATCAAGGGCTTTCATGAATGTAGAGTGGTGAATTGGGGACTGGGTTCCAGTAAACTTGCTGGTGTGGCTTCGATCTCTGTAAGTGAGGATGTCCTCATGTTTGTGATGTTCCCAGTCATGGAACTGTTGGGCGGTGTCCAGGTCATATCCGTAGTTTGCATCCTTGGCGATGTCGACCAAGTATTCAGTCTGGAAATTTATATCATCGTAGCAGTCTTTCAGTTCATTCATTCTGAAATTATGAAAGAAAAAATAAAAAACTTCCATTTTAGTATCATTCGTGACATGTTCTGTAACTGATCCGTTAAGTGGCTTCCTTTCTTCTAATGAAATTTTATGGTGCGCTTATTTGAAGTCTGCAGCTCTTGTCTAAAAACAAAGGAATATATTCAATACTTTAAGCCAGGATTACCAAATATCTACACGTTCGGGTCTCCCTTTCGACAGCAACGAAGCTGTTTTCAACGTATCAAGATAAGTTCCTGTTGAGTGCATTTCGATTGAGTGTTTATGTCGTAACATTTGAATAAAAGTATGAAAGGAACAAGAAGCCAATAAAAACACAAAGTAAACACAAGTAATCGGGCATAATGGGGCGGGAAGCTCGATTGTGCAATGAATGATTTTGGGTTAAGCTTTGATTCTGATTGGTCGAGAAGTGGTTGGTTTTAGTTTCCATCTGATTAGTTTTAAGGGCGACGCCAAATTTTCGAGAGCAGTCGAGGGGACTGGGGGGACGAGACCCGCGCAGGAATTCGCGATGATTCATTCAATATTCCAGGACAGATTGCTCTATAATTTATTACTTTGTGATCCATTTCTCAATGTCCTTCTTCATGGCTTCGTTGTCAGGGAGTTTGAGCTCCCCTGTGATGCAGTTCACGGTCCACTTGGCTTGCGCGTCGAACATGGTGTAAGTGTAGTACTGGTCCTGCATTCCAATGTAGAAAACCTTGTTGTTGCCAGCCTCGGTCCACAGTACATTCTTGTACATCCCGGCAGGGTACAAGATATTCCTGGCCTTCAGCCGGAGGCGCTCCTCAAGGAACGGAAAGTGGAAGCAGTAGCCGGTGCACAAAATGATGGCGTCCACATCGGCCTTGCTACCATCCTTGAAGTGGACAGTTTTGCCTTCGATCTTTGTTAGCAGTGGTCTCTCAGTGATCTCAGGGGGCCACTTGAAGCCCATTGGCCTGGTCTTGTAGGAGCAAATGATCTTCTTGGCGCCATATTTGAGGTTTTGCAAAGCGATATCCTCAGCGGAATAGCTGGAGCCGACCACAAGAAGCGTCTGTCCTTGGAACTGATAGGCATTTCGGAAGTCGTGTGAGTGCGTCACGCGGCCAGGAAACTCCTCTATTCCTGGAAAAAAGGGAACGTTCGGCACAGAAAAGTGACCAGTTGCTACAATAAGGTAGTCAAACTTCTGAACAGGAAGGTCTTTGTCCTCGACAAGGCTTTTGACAACTACTGAAAAGTCGTCGGTGTCATCATTGTAGGTCACCTGGCGGACGGCATGATTGAAACGAATCCAGTGTCGAAGATCGGCTGTAGTCCAGCGACCTTTTAGAAGATTCAGTGAGAGGAAATATGTTACGTTACGTGCTAACAGTTGTGTGTTTATTTTATAACCTCTACATCGCCCGTCTACGGCTAATTTTGCCCTTAAGAGGTAGGCCTGTGTTATTTTTTTTTTCGTATCGGAATTAGGAAAAACACACAAAAGAAAAAAAGAAAAACAGTGATCGAAATCAGGAACAGAGCTAACCAACGGGTTAGTTGTTGAGATGGAAAGATTACCTTTCAAGTAATCAAAGAGAACCTCTCTGGGTGGGAAGGATGGAATTGCCTTTTTGAAATGATCTTCGAACGTGTAGTCCGGAAACTCTAAAGTTTCCTTCGGACCATTCGACCAGAGGCCTCGGTACATACTTCCATGGACGGGTTCACCAAACTGATCGATACCTGAATAAAGAAAAGAGTTAAAAGAATATAATCATGTTTCTAGTCTTCATTTTTTCTTCAACTCAAACCATGGTTTGCTTAACCATTTTTTCTCAGTATGCGTTTCAAATAGACTCTAGGACGTCGCAAAAAAATTTTTATCTTTTAGTACACTGCCTTCCCCTTAACTCAGAAGCATTGACCCGCTCAAATTGCCCCACGTTTATTTTCCACATTTTTAGCGGTGCCCTTTTTGGTGCGATGTTGACACTGCATGTTAAAGATGAAAACGCCAAGAACATATTACACAGTTGGATCCTCCTCCAAGCGGCTAAACCTCATCTACACCAAGAAAATGCAACTTTACTAGAAAGACATAACAAGATCAAATGACTAGAAACAAAGGCTCTGCAAAAGAGTGTGTCAACGTGCCACTAAAAACTATGTACTCACCAGTTTCCCAGGAGTATTTCCAGAGCCCTCCCCAATCTGACTGCTTGTCGAAGCACACAATTTCAGGAATTTCTTTGCCTTGTTCTTTCAGTTTATTGAAGTGAAATAATACTGACATACCACTGGGACCTGCACCGATCACACAGACACGCTTTGCTTTAGACATCTTTACGTTTATTAGTTCCAACTGTCGAAAAAAATATATAGCATAAGTGGTATTTTCAATATCATCAAAATTAAATTATTGATTTAATTGTTAGCAGTTCCCACTTTGGAAAAGACGTTCTCATTACAAGTTGCTTCTCTTTCTACATGTGGCTTCGCAACTCAGTTGGTGGCGACGCCCAACCAGTATCTGGGGGACAACTAGTATCTGGGGGATAACTAGTATCTGGTAGCGGAGCTAATATCTAGGGGACAACTAGTATCTGGGGGACAACTAGAATCTGGGGGACAACTATTATCTGGAGAACAACCAGTATCCGGGGGGCAACTATTACCTTGGGGACAACTAGTGTCTTGATGGTGACGCCCAACTATTATCTGGGGAACAACTAGTATCCGGGGATCAACTATTACCATCGGGACAACTAGTGTCTTGATGGTGACGCCCAACTAGTTTATTGGTGGGATAGCTAGTATCTGGGGGACAAGTAGTATCTGGGGGATAACTAGTATCTAGGGGAAAACTAGTATCTGGGGGACAAGTAGTATCTGGGGGATAAATAGTATCTGGGGGACAACTAGTATCTGGGTAAGAATCCCAGCGAAGCCTGAAATTTTTTTGGATTCTTTCCTGCAGTTCTTTCACTTACAGCTCATCTGAGAGGATCATTTCTTTACTTGTATTTTTCAAGTTGTTTTTGGATTTTTGAAAAAGAAAGAAGGGAAAAGAGTTAACTGGATGACGTTGGCTGTACCGTAGTCTCACAGAAGAGGATGATCTATCAGAGAAGCCCAGTCACTTGGTATTTTGTGTACGAAAGCAGAAAAAAATTAGATATTTTAAACTTAGAAGAGTCTCTTTTAGACCACAGAAAGAAAGACTAGTCTTCAGGAGATCTTTTCTGAAGTATTCCGAGTCCAGGCGGGCGGGAGGGGTCTTCTAGAGAAGGCGGGTTAATAAATTCTAAGTGTTCGAAATGAGAAGGTGTTGAGAAAAACGGATATTCCAACGCGAAGAAATAACGATGTAATTACGATGTCGACGCATTCATTCACAGGTCATTCCTAACCCTCTGAATTGCTGTATTTTTAACTTGAATAACAGAAACGAGAAACCTCAAATCTTGATCATTTATCGATCGACCCTTGCTGTGTTTGTAAAGTGGATTGTTTTCATTTTAACATAACCTGTATTTGCAGAACATTGTTTCTTTTCAGTTTGATAATTACGCAAACTCCTGAATTGACCTAAGAAACACTGACGGTTTGGCCATACAACGGAAAAAACAAAATCACCTCAGTTTGCAAGGGTAAGTCAATTTTTCCCGAAAAAAGGAGCCCTATTGTTTTCAAACTGATGGACATCAGTGTTATCAAAGTATCTGAAGGAGACTCTGGAAGAGCTGACGTTTATGTCAAAACAGTGTGTGTTGCTACGGAGATTAAGTCACGCCAGGGCTGACAGCACCCGAAATATTAAATTTCACCAAGAAATATTGAATGGTTAAAAGAGAATCGACAAAAATCGAGTGGAATCATTGTCGTTAAAGAAGGTTTCCGTTAATCTACCACAAACATCCGTGTCGTTTAATATGTTCGGTTTAAACAGAAACATGCACAAAGTCTAGTTGCGTACTTCTGAGGAACTGAAGTTAAGTACATGCACTATATTATGGCCGAGGAAACAACGCGCCGTTTCAAGATGTTAAGCACACGTGAGTGTCCTTGCGATCAGTATGATGAGCTTTGCTTTCAGTTCATGCAGGGTGTTAGGTTTCTTGGTGGCAATAATTTTCGCAAAGACAAAATAAACAATAAACCTGACAAGATTCTCAGGATGTGCTCAAGTCTGGCAATAGTCTTGTGTCTCCGGCGCATCAAATTTCAGTCGACCACTTCGCACCCTTTACTGGTTTTCACTCCAGTCCAACTGACTACGAATGCAATATTTATGAAATAAAATGTTATTAAAAGTTCTCGTGGTACGTACGAGGTAGGCAGGTGGTAAGTGCAGGTGGTTACAAATAGGGGAGGGGAAGAGTTGGGTTGCCAGTGTGACAACACTTCATCTTGCCACGCAGTGGTTGTGAAAAAAGGAAGGGAAACAAACAAACAAAATGAGCTAAACAACCCATGTGAAGGTCATCGATTTAATGATCTAAAGCTTGTGAAAAAGTCTGAAATAGGTCCTTGATGCGCCTACTGTTATCATAGTCGACCATGATGATGTGCTGGTAATTTGCACGCGATGAATATTTATTTTGATCAATAAACTATCTACCCGTCTATGACATGCAACCCATAATGCACCCTTTAATTTTTCAAATATAGCAAAATAATTTTCTTCTGAGCGAAAACCCTTCAGCGCTCAAACGCCCGTTTTGAACTACACCGATTAACAAAACTAGCACAACTTGGCACAAAATTCTACTTTGAGAGTTTTGTTTTGTCTAGCATGTCTAGATCACCCATTTATAAGAACAAAGCACATTTTTTTCAACGGTTTTTTTTACAGTGGTGACGCCCAGCTAGTGTCTGGGGAACATTTAGTATCTGGGGGATAACTAGTATCTGGGGGGCCCTGGCGTTCAGAATCATAAGCTTTGCTTTCAGTTCATGCAGGGTGTTAGGTTTCCTGGTGACAATAATTTTCACAAAGACAAAATAGTCGGTAGACCTGATAAGATTGTCAAGATGTACTTAAGTATGGTAATGGTGTCGTGTCTTCGGCACAACAAATCTCGATGGCTTCGCTTCCCTAACTGATCGACAATTCTCACTCCAGTAGAACTGACCAGAAATGATATTTCTTGTTGCGATGTAATGTTGCCTAGTGCTGCTTATCGTACTCCAATCTTTCGCTCTTTATTTCTCACCCAACTTGTGAAACTGAATGTTTTTTTTCATTCTCAGATTGCTATTAGCGACTTAAAGAGAACCACGATGGCCACGGCAAAGAAAGGAGGCGAAATATTTTTCTATGAACCAAACAATATGGCTCAACGAGTCTGTTTTAAAACTCATTATATTTCCAGGCCGCTTCATTGAACAAAGACAGGTTATTTATGCGTAGACACTGGCTGGGCGGCTGAATTTTAAAACGTATGCATGCACTAAGTGAGAGGACAGAGAGGAAGCTGTAATTTATAACTGATCACACAATTCATTGTAAGAAATGATGTGAAAGCTGCATTATATAAATGATAATTCTGTGAAAAGGTAAACTGAAATACAAATGAATACAGATTTACAGTTTGGTGTCATTTCTATTACTTATCAAGGCACCTGAGTTAAGAAATAAGTGGAAAGGTAAATTGCAGACTTTTTCATAAGGAGTAGATAAGAAATGTTTAGAGTGCAATTAATATGTTTCCTTCTCTTTTTGGTGTTATATCCTTGAAGTAAAACTAGATTAATTCATTTAACTGTATACAATTCAACATCCGTTTTAAAATACTAGTTCATTTCGTATTAAAAAGACTTCTTTAAATATAAAACGGTAAAAACGAACGATAAAATCCGACGTTTCGGAGTAGTCATGACTCCATTATCACTGTAAAATATGTAAAAGATCGTGCAAATTACAGCATTAAACCGATTTCGGTGCGAAGAATTAACGTCAAAGGGTGCGAAGATTATGAAAATACTTTCGCCCGAATGGAGTCTGATTGCACGTTGAGATTTGGCTTTAAAGCTCTTAGAAAAGCATTTCGTACACTAAACAGTCAAATTTGTTTCTGCATTTCTTGAGCATTTCCAAACGCTTTAGCAGGTCCAGAGGCATCGTCCCGTGCACGTTCTTGTAGTGTTTGGCAATGGCGGAGGATTGTTGTTTTAGCGGGTCCTTCTCTACGATTATGTAAATGTCCGAGTGTGTACCAGCTACATAACCCGTATCGCACAGGTCACATTGAAAACTGTAAACAACACACTGCTGATTTACAATAGGTGGCTTTGTTTCCTTGACATGTAGTTCTTGTTCAATTTTTCGGCTCACAAACGCAGGCTGGATGATGGTGTGTACTTTTAGGCCTAGATCCTTTGGTTGTTTTTCTCACAATATCTGCTGAGATTTGGTCTCTAAATAGCAAAATTACTCGAACCGTGTCTTCTGTCTATTTAGATGGCGACAAAAGCTGCTGCTGGTCACAAGCCTTTGAGTCAACGAAACTTTTGATGGTAGAGTTAACGAGGTTTTTGGGGTACCTCAGACGTGAGAATACTGTCTTCAAACGGTCACATTCGTCAGAAAATGTGACTAAGATGAGGATAAACGATGTGCCTGATCAAGCATAGTTCTTAGTAGAACCTATTTACACCGATTGTTAACATGACTCTGATTGTGCAAGAGTGGACTTGAATTAGTGGATTTACGTACACCATAGTATCTCTATTTGAGGCCATCGGTTGATTAACTGGATACTCAGAAATGGGAGCATGCCATTGGATTCGGTTTCCATCATAAATTTTACGGAGGAATGTGCCTTGTTAAGCGTTTCCAGAAAGTTAGATGCTGTTGCGATATTTGGCATGACGGTGAGCATATCGTCTACATATCTTCGGTAGAAAGAAGAGAGTTTGCCCTCCCGCTCAAGGTTTTCTTCGATTGGCTAGTAAGGGACCAAGAGGGGATCACCATCATGTCAAATATGGCAACAGCATCTAACTAACGTTTTTCTCGTTCATTTCATTGGACAAATAGCCAGTGTCATGAGATAGAATCTACCAAAGAAGTCACAATGTCCAACAGTTATTGTTCTTCTCAAAGACCCCATAGGAGAGGGGTAAGGTTACATTTGGGAGAGGGGAAGAGGTGGGTTTTTATTCTCAAAGACCCCATAGGAGAGAGGTAAGGTTAACCTTGGGAAAGGGGTGGGTTGTTCTTCTCGTATACCCTTTAGGAGAGGGGTAAGGTTACATTTGGGGGAGGGAAAGAGGTGGGTTGCCAGTGTGGCAACACTTCATCTTGCCTTTGGCAGTGAAAAAGGGAAAGAAAAAAACAGAACAAGATGA